GATGAGTCCCAGAAGCCGCAGATGGCCTGCAATTCTCATAAATCACCTCCACCTTATGGTTTAGCTCATAAATCAGCTGATTTTGAGTACTCACAGCACAAACCAAACCTTCACACTGACTCGGAAGCTTATCATGGCCGAAACTTCTGCCGATGTCTTCTTCAAAAGTCGATAAAACAGAGCCCCGCTGATGCCAAAAAGCAGAGTCCCTGTTATCATAAATTCAAATATGTAAATGTCTTCAACATCCTCCTGAGACAGAACTGAGAGGCACATCAGCTGCCACACTCCCCACGGGTCCATGACGTACCTCACAGTGTGTGTCTCAGCTGGACACGCAGGTTCTCCAGGACCTTGTCGCTTTGATGAAAAAATCTTGTCAATAGCGTTGAACGTCCAGGATACCAGATCCATAATCTTTATTTACGTTCGGGAGATGTGTACCAGGCCCTTCAGACACACAGAGAGCAAAGCAGGAGGAAGGAAAAAACGGGAGAGGAAAGGCAAGCAGCCACCTCGATTGAGAGCCAGATTGAAAAAATGATAATAATTTATTTTAAATAACAATTCCATGCTGATCGTGTGGCTCATCCATCAATCAGCCAACTGTGTGTCATGTCCAATCTTATTTTGAAAAACAGTGATAGAGCGAGGCCGTGATAAACAAAGCGTGAGGCAGCGAGGGACCACTGTACTCCATGAGCAGTGTTGATAAATCAATCAACCTTTATTTAGACAGGTAAATCCTATTGAGCCTCGAGGACTCATTTACAAGAGAGACCTGATAAATAAGAGATAAATGTTATATTCTAAGTAATTTTTCTGTTATTTCCACTCCTTCACTACTTTTACTGTTTAAAAAACAACATTTTTCTCTGAAAAAGTTGATGCTAACAAGCTAGCCACATCGTTCATCCCTGCCATAACTGCTTTGGACACAAACAGCCACATCAGGAAGTGCTGTGGGTGGAGCTAAATGTTTTTGGCCCCACCCACTCTACATCCAAATTTTGATAGTTTAATTTTACTGTCAGTTATCAACAAACTCATCCAGCAGAGACTTTGTCTAGGTTCACACTGCAGGCAAACATGACCCGTATCAGAGCTTTTCATGACAGTCTGAACGTGACAAACCAACATTTCCTAATCCGACCCAGGTCTTTTTCATATGTGGTTTTTGAATCCATATCTGATATTTGCAGTTTGAACAGTGTTGTCTCATTTCATCTGACTCTTAAATCTGTGAGGTAGGGGTGAGCGGATGGATTCAAGTATTAATAATCATGATTCCAGCCTTGTGCAGTTCAAATACTGGAACTCCACACATCTTTGATCCCATTGCCTCGTCGTTGTTCTTTTAATTTCCATTGTCCTGGATGACGTATGATCCAGGGGCGATTCTAGGATCTGATCTTTTGGGGTGCTTAGCTCCCAGTACTGACAATGGCTCTTGGCTTGAACATTGTACCCCATGGTGTGGTTGAGACAAGTAAAAAGCTTACAGCACCTGTCCTGATGCATGCTCAATAATCCAGGTAGAAAAATCTAAAAAAGTTAAATCTGGTCCTCTGGACATTCAAAAAAACAAAACAATGCAAAACAACAACAAAAATGTAGAAACGTTTCGTCTTTCATCTGAAAGACTTCCTCCGTCTGAGGTGCTGTATTCAGCTCAGTCTTATAAATAGCACCTTTTCAGAGTGGATCAACCAGTTTTGCTGCTGACAACCAAAACCAGCTGCTCACATGATCAAGAAGGACCATCAGCCTAACGAAGGATCATTAGCACACTGATGGCTGTTTACTATTCACAGAGGGCTGAGTGATACTTGCAATAACAGCATTGTAAAAGGGGGACAGTTGAACACGGAGGCCTCCACCCCTGTTTAATGATGGATGTTTTTTTTTTCACAAAGATGCCCTCCTTTACTCCTCTCTCAAACCATCGTTCCTCTCTATCCAGGATGTGAACATCTTCATCCCTGAAAGAGTGACCGCTGGCCTGGAGATGAGTGTAGACTGCAGAGTCCTGGCCTGATGTTGTTGTTCTTCTGTGCTGGTCCATCCTTTTGGCCAGTGGCTGTTTAGTTTCCCCAATCTAAGACTGATCACAGCCCTCCTGACACTGAACAGCATACACAATATGACTCAGTTTGTGCCGGGGGACTGGATATTTGGGATGAACCAGTCTTTGCCGTAATGTATTTTGGGGTTTAAAAGCCACTGGGACGTTGTGTTTAGAAAATAAACTTCTCAGTTTCTCTGATACTCCCTCAACATACGGAATGACCACTGGTCTGGGTCTGGGTTCCTCCTTTTCACCTGATGGCTGACTGGAGTCCTGTTTGGGTTTCTTTTCTGCTTTCAGGAAGGCCCAGTTAGGATATCCACATTGCTCTAGAGCAGGGGTGCCCAACCTTTTTTGAACCAAGAGCTACTTTTGAAGTCGGCAATTTGCAGAGAGCTACTCGTCCAGTCTCATTATCAACAAACATAATTTTTCATCAATCCCTACTCCTCACTTCTTTAAAGTAAATAAAACAGAACGTGATGTGTCTATAGGAGACAACTTTTTATGCAAGCTGTATAAAATAAATGTGTCTCTACCTTAGTGGGACTTCTGACACTGAGAGGAGGAGGCCAGGGTCTCATAAGCTGGGCAGTATGAGGTGGTTGCGAGGCGCAGGCAGGTCTCCAGATGATCATCATTCATTGTGGATCTGTTTTTGGACTTGATGATTTTCATGTGTGAAAAAGCAGACTCACACAGGTAGGTAGATCCAAAAAGTGCTGTTAAGTTCAAAGCACATCTTCGGATGTTAGGATACTTTTCTTCTGACAGCAGACTCCAGAACTCTCCATCCACGCCAGGTGATGCTCTGGATTTGATCCCAATGTCATTTTGCAGAGTCAACACCTCATTTTCAACACCAGAGCTGTCCAGCTGAAACACGGACACCAATTTGGACACAATGTCATCCACATCAACATTTCCAAAAGGATAACACATGTAGCTGGTAACAGGCTCGATGGAGGAAAAGTCAGTAAATCGTCTCTCAAATTCTGCTGAGATGCTCTGAACCTGCTTAGAATAGTGTGCACTGTCCAGTTGTGGGACCTCTTTCCCTTGGCGCTGTAGCTCTGCCTCCATGTGTGGGAAGTTTCGCAGGTCCCTGCGTTGCAGCCGACTTGTGAGCAGTTGCAGCCTGCTTTTGAAGGTGCTCACAGAACTGATCATGTGGATTATGTTTTTGTCCTTTCCCTGAAGTTCGAAATTCAGTTCATTGAGCAGGCTGGTGAGATCTGTGAGGAAGGCTAAATCCAAAAGCCACTGGGTGTCCTCTAGTTTTGAATGTTCACCATGATCTGACAGCTTCAGAAAATCCCTGATCTCAGGCAACAGCTCACTGAATCTGTCCAGAAATTTACCTCTGCTTAGCCACCTGACGTCCATGTGCAGCAGCAGGTCTGTGTGGTCTGCTCCTGCCTCCTCCAAGTGAGCCCGGAACAACCTCCTCTGCAGACTCCTGGCCCTTATAGAGCACACAGTTTTCATGGCAACATCCATCACTTCCTTCATGTTTAAAATCTTCCCACACAGGGTCTGTTGGTGGATGATGCAGTGATAGTGCAAAATGTCTGGGAAAGCATCATTCTGCTTGCAGAGTGCAACAAATCCACTGGTGTGACCAGTCATTGCTGGAGCGCCATCAGTTGTTATAGAAATTAGTTTAAAGAGGGGCAAGTTGCTTTTATTAACAAACTCCATAAACGCATTAAAAATATCTTCTCCTCTTGTGTGTCCCTTCAAAGGCAAGATGGTGAGCAGCTCCTCTTTTGCACTCATGTCTGCAAAGGCCATTCTGATAAAAACACACAGCTGGGCTACATCCACCATGTCTGTCGACTCATCAAACTGAAGAGAGAAACACTCACATTGTTCCACGTCCTTTTTTAGCTGCTCCTCCACATCCACAGCCATTCCCTCACATCGCCGTGTCACTGTTTGTCTGGACAACTGCACGTCTTTAATAGCAGCTACGATCTCACTTTTATTTTTAAAATCATGAAAAAGCGCATCTGCAGCCTCAATAAACGCTTCTTTCATAACGTCCATCGCTGAAAGACTTCTTATGTTGAGCCAGGATGCGGCTAACACGGTAGGAAGCTATCGTAGCAGCTTTACCTTTTGTGCTGGGGCGAGTGAAGACTGATTGCTGGGCTGCAAGCTTGTTTTTTAGCTCCCGCACTTTCTGAGTCCGTTAAGAACTTTTAAGAGGGAAATCTGTCTCAAACCGTTTGTGCATCATCTTGAAATGCCGCTCCAAGTTACACTTTTTGGGTAAGGCAACGCTTGAATCACAGATGAGGCAAATGGACTTCGAATTAGAATAAACAAAAAAATACTCCTCCTCCCACTCTGTGTGAAAATAATAAGTTTTCGTTTGCTTGTTCGCTAGTTTTCCATCCATGTTTTCTGCGCACTGACATTACTCCACTACTGAGCCTAAAGTCTCGTGAGAGCGCTGTGTCACCGCACCCAAAACTCGCGAGACTATGTCTGTGAGAATACAAGTCAAGGTTTCGCTTTGCGGGCGACTGGTTGGGCACACCAGCTCTAGAGCCTGTCTTGTGTGGGATTTCTCCTTCTGCCTGGCTCCTGAGTTAGTGGGGACACTGTCTGCTCTGTGGTATAGAGTCCTGATGACTCCTAACTTGTGCTCCAAAGGGTGATGGGAGTCAAACTGCAAATACTGGTCTGTGTGGGTGGGTTTGCGGTACACCTCAGTTTGCAAATGTCCTCTATCAGAGATAGCAAATATAGATAAGAAACTTGAAATTTATATTGTAAATATTTTTTTAAGTTTTTAAAATCTATTGAATTTATTGTGCTTTTTTTTTTATTACAAAGGTAAAATGAAGATGTGTTTATTGTGCCGTGTTCAGATTATAATATTTATTAATAAATGTGCAGTGATTTTCTGTATATATGTTTTTAGGTTGCGAGATGGAGATTCTGGGTGTGCGTCCAACGTTCTGTAAAGAGTACGTGTTCAACCCATCAGAGGAAAACCTGAAAGAGTCCATTAATGATGCGCTCTCTGTGTTGAGGTAAGAACACCGTCTATGGTAGACGGCTAATGTTTAAATAACATAACAAAAGTTTAAACTTTAGATATAATTATTGTCTGAAAGTTAAAGGCTAATTGTTTTTGCCCATGTTTTCATTTGTTTCTGTCTTTTAGCAAAAATCTCATGAACCACAGGATGAATTTTATTGAAACTCTCAGTAATCACTGGGCGTGCATCTATGATTAACTTTTAGGGTCAAGATGGCTGTGACAGCTAACTGAGGCAGCCATCTTGGTATGACTCAATAATGTGACAATGCTGTTTTGATGTGGTAAATTGTAAATGGACTGTACTTATATAGCTCCTTTCTAGCTTATCAAGATACTCAAAGCTCTTTACAACACAATCTGTGTCCTCATTTACCCGTTCATACATCACTCTACTAGATCTCTACAAAGACTAATCAGAGCTTTATCACATTCATACACCAATGGGACACACAGGAGGCAATGAGGGGTTCAGTGTCTTGCCCAGGGACACTTTAGAATGTGGCTGCTGGTGGAATCGAACCCCCAACTCTTGCATTGGAGGACGACTGCTCTAACCACTCAGCCAGAGCCACCCAAGTAGTAGTAGTAGTAGTAGTAGTAGTAGTAGTAGTAGTAGTAGTAGTAGTAGTAGTAGTAGTAGTAGTAGTAGTAGTAGTAGTAGTAGTAGTAGTAGTAGTAGTAGTAGTAGTAGTAGTAGTAGTAGTAGTAGTAGTAGTGGTAGTAGCCAAGGCTCTCACAGAAAATTTGGATTAACAGAGATGCCATTTCCTGCATTTTGGTGTATTTTAACGAGTTGTTATACATCAACATTTACCTACATTTGTAAACACTTA